TCAGAGAGATGATAATAGCAACCAGATAAGCGAATCATACAAGGAAAGTATATTATATAACCCATGAAAGACTCAAGGAAGCAACTTTTAAGCCAGTATTTTAAGCCAGTATTCTCTTTTCTAATATTCAATTTGATGGCTTTGAACAATCACCACTGCACTTCTTTTAGTGATTTGTTTCTCTGAAATTTTAAATACTGCATTATATTTTTGCAAACATTGAGTTTATCCAAGTATGTGGATACTTCTCCCTAATTTTTATGGTCTGATTTTGCTCTATTTCTGATGCAATGAGGTACTGATATTGATAGTGAAAAGATGACTGATATAAAGATAACACTAAAGAAACTACTACCCTGTTTCTCCAACAATACGGCCTCCCCCAATAGGAAGTCCCAGCATATTTTATAAGCATGAAATGAAATTAAGCCCCTCCCCCCCCAAATTAAGGCCTATATTAAAACATGCGAAATGGGGGGAATGGTGGGGGGGCTTGCCATTAGGAAGTACTTTTGTTGCACACCCGGATATGGTGCTGCCTGCGTTGACCCCGATACGAAGTGCCCCACCAACACCGAGGTCAACATCCAAGCCGTCGCTGCCCGCCCACCCAAAGATGCAAGGGGGGGAATTAAGTCATCCCCGAAAAGACGGCCTAGCCATTTTTTCGGGGCTCAAAAAAAAAAAAAGACCCGGCCTTATTATATGAGAAACACGGTATTATCAAAGATAATGAAAAAGGAGAGACAGGAATATAGCCCAGAATATGAAAACAGAACACATCTAAAACACCTATGGAAAATCTTTATTTAGCCAACAGAATCGTTTATGAAAAATCTTATAGAAGAGTCATTAACTTGAGAGATAATAAGTAACGAGACTGAGATATAGTATCACATTTATATTATAAACTGTGAGGTATTAATTACCTTTCAAAGATTACCTTAAGGAATGCTGCTATTTTTCATCTTAAAAACCTACATGATTTCAAAGAGAGATCCTACCTAAAACTAAGGACATATTCCCTGATAGTGAGAACAACTGACCAGTGGAACAGCTTGACTCCAGAAGTTGTGGGTGCTCTTATCATTGGAGATTTTAAAGAAGAGATTGGACAGCCAATTATCCAGAATGGTATAGGATCTCCTACTTGAGCAAAAGATTGGACTAAAAGACCTCCAAGATCCTTTTCAACTCTCTTATTCTGTATTCTGTACTCTGTATGTATGTCCTCCAAACATAAAAAGTTGCATATGACTTAGGAAAGGCTGGTCGATTTCAAGAAGGTTTTACATTGAAAAACATAAAGAAACCCTAGGGCTATAAACTAGCTTGAAAGTGAGAAAAACAGCCCAAGAGAAGACAATGGCAAACCATTTCTGTATTGTTAGCAAAACTAAAGCCAAATTCCTACATTGTTGTGTATCAGGCAGCAAATTATATCTGCCCTCTAAATCAAAGCTTACATTTTAAATTGTGACATGAAAGTACAGTACAGTACCAAGCATTGCTTTCCCTTCGTCTTCCAATTCAAAGCGAAGAGTCTGCACTTCCTGTTCCATTTCTATTTTGAAAACATCCATAGCTTGTCTATGTGCATCTTTCAGTGCCTGAAGTTCTTCTAAATATTTCTGTTGCAAGTGTTCCTCAAGTTCCTATGGAAAGTAAATCAGTATGAGAATATTCTTACAATTAAACATATAAAATTATCTTTAAAATTTTTATCTTATGGAATCTTATCTGTAGCTTCTCTATCTTATGCAGTAAATCACTGTACTCTGGATACTACTTAGCAAAGTAGTTTGGTTCCAAGACAACTGTAGACAAAAATAGGTGAGGGTCTCTTGGATGTTCAAAATAAAAATTAAGTATTTAATTAAAATAATGTTAATGTTTCTTTTTTGTGGCCTTTATTTGAAAATGTGTGATATTGCCAACCCCCATTGAACATACCTTTTGCTCTTGTTCTTTTGTTTCTTCCATGCTCTGAAAGGCAAGAATATGTGCTTCTTTCATAGACTTATGTCTCTGCTGATGCTCTTCCTCCAGTTCTTCAATTTCTTGGGTCAGTCTCTGCCGCTCTTGACTAAACTGTGCGTGCAATTGTTGCATTGTGTTCTGAGATTGTGAAAGCTGCATTTCTAGGTTTTGCTTTAGCAGAGTGATCTAATTCACAGAAAAGCAAAATGACACAGGAATATCAGAATGAAATTCAAATTAAATTTATGCAAAGATTTTTTAAAACTGTGATTAATTTTGGAAAAGTACAGAAATCTATAAACATGTTACTAGTCCACTGAACAACTACAATCCAAGTTGTAGTTTGAGATATGAAAGGCAATATACAATGTTCACAGAAATTTTTTATCTTTAAACATTGCATCCTTATCTTCTGGCATATGTTGTTCAGTAGCACATTTCTTTTAGGAAATGTTCAGGTATACATTATAACATGAAACAAACATTTATGATACAAAAGATAGGACTACTACAAAGATTGCTACTTTGCATTCTATAAAATGCCTCTCCCAACTGTCTGTTACATTCTCAGATATCTAAAAGTCAAGTTCAAAGCACTCAGACAGTTTATTTTAATATCTAAAGCTTGTTAGTCAGAGTTACAGAAAGTCTTCTTAAAAGTACAAAAAGATTGCTTCATAAAAATAATAGATGAAAACATTTCAATACATCTACTTAGGCAGGAATCCTAATGAACTCAATTGGATTTACAATCTTATGTTTAGATTCTGGAGTTAATTACTAATAATTTTTAAAATTAAATATCAGATTTTTATATTACCTCTAGAATTGTTTAGGGCACTGAAAAAGAATAATATATTTAACATATTATAATGCTTAGTGTGTTCAACCATGGACTAAGGACAATTAGCTTGATATTGCTAGACATGTTGCTCAGTTCATGACTGTACATCTGGTATTATCTGACAGACAAACCCACCTCACAAGCATATTGCAGTAAAGTAGTAGGAGTACTATGTACAATGCCTTAAACTCTGGAAGGAAAGCTAATATATAATCCCCCTAATTTGTAATTCTTTATTTCCATATTATGTTTTTGTGGCTTAACCCACACCTTTCTAGATGATTTCTTAAAACTCAGTTTTAAATTGAGTGATGTGCTAGCCATGCAGAGTAATGTACAGATCTTACATGGTATTTTCAGGATGGACAGTTCATGTTAGAGATTGAGATTAGGAGAAAATAATAACACTGCAGTTGAGATCAGAAGGAAGAGCTATACTACTTTTATATTCAATTGACAGTCTTCCTATCAAAACCTGAATATACATTAAAATAGTGTATAATGTTCCAATATTACTATAATATATCGGTGTTGTCACCACTCTTTGAATAAATTCACATAAAATAATTACTAGTAAAGACCACAGGTACTATCATTAGTTTCATTCATAGTATATCAGCTTTCAAATAGCTTAACTGTAGGACAATCAGATAAAATTTAATTCATATGATCAGTGCAAACATTATACTTTATTGGTCTATAAATATTTATTATGAAGATCATAATGCCAAATAGTTACAAGAGTATTATTTAACACAGATGAACTCACAAATAATTCAGTGAAGGTACAGATACCCTGTATATAGATGAAAGAATTAATATACAAGTTAATTCAGATTTAAGATTTCTATTATGCTTTCATTTATAAGATAACATAAATGCTAAATGTATTACACCTGTGCAAAATTTCTGAAGGCACTTTGGTCAAATGCAATAGTGTGAAAAAGAATTCATCATTGAAATGTTCAGGTAGCAGTATTTTCAGGAGGGTGTGGGTACTCCAAGGACTTTGTCTTCACTTGTCTGTGCATGCAGAGCTGCTTTACTTTACCAGCAGTCCCCAAAGACTGGACATACACATGCACAGACTATCTTCCTGAGAACACAGCTGCTTCAACACAACAGAGGCACATTGCTTAGGGTAATGTGGAATGCAAATTACCCCCTTGACCTATTTGTGCAGTGGAAAAGCATTTGTAACAAATTCAGTACCTTCTGTTAGATGTTGAATAAATGTTTGAGTTTTCTTCCACCATACAATTTTCTTTTATAAAATCTTAGAATTATAGGATCCACTACAGTAGGGGTTCTTAACCTTTTCTTGCTCGTGGCTTACTTCTGAACTTCATTTATCTCTCTGACACATACACACACACACACACACACACAATTACCACTGTTAAGATATTTATGTAAACTGCAGTAATTTTCAATATCTATATTGCTGAAATTAGCACAGAGAATGAAATATATGGATTATGACAAATTGACAAATATATGCCTGGTTGGACGACACCCTCAGAAATTTAACTATGATTCCCTAAAAATATGGCAGGCCCATGTTGAGAATCACTACATTAGAGCATTTCAGACAGAAGATCATCCAGCTTCTACAGCTGGAAACAATTTTGAGCTAATGGATCCTCTGGATTCTTGATTTTTTTTAAAAAAAAAAAAGCCTGTCAAATAGCTACAAGGTATATCATGTAACTAACTGCTGTAGCATTTAGAGCAGGGGTGTCAAACTCATCACAGCGGCATCATGTGACATATCGGGACTTTTCCCTTCACTAAACTGGGCATGGGCATGGCCAGCGCGTGACATATCTGGCCCACAGGCCGCGAGTTTGACAGCCCTGGTTTATAGAAAGCTATACAGTTTATATTGTTAGTCCACCACCATAAGAAAACTGCATGGCAGAACTTAGATAGTGTTCCTGGAGCAAGGAGGAGGAACAAAATCTATATATCGTGAAAATTTTCCAAAGTCAAAAAGCCTGAAGGGTAAAGTGGTATTTTTCATCAGTCTTTTATTCCCTCTTCTATGCATCCTTCTGTAAATCTCACTGTTGAACAAAAATGGAAACAATGTGTTTTTAAAACAAGAGGATTTCTCCTAAATCCTAGATCTCTGCTATGGAGGCCTTTGAGGAAATGGAACCTCTGGCAATTTTAAAGTTAATATCCTTTTAGTAAATGAATTAGAGGGGAAAAATGATATTGCCTTGTATCAGCAATGGAGAATATAAATGAGCTCAGAAATCTTTATTGCTGACTATGGTAGTGTTTAAGATTAATAATTTTAGAGTTGATAGAAGAGTGTCTCGATTTGTTCGATGAAATAAAGCCTAATTCTAAAGGAAAGATTATTAATTATAATGTTTCATTTAAATTGCATCAAGCTTTATAGTTATAAGATTCCAAATTAATCCAATGGAAGTAATCATGAAAAATATGGTCTTACACCCATTACTGTCTCATTGATGCTTGTTAAATGAAAATGTATTTTTCTGGGAAATTGCCTCCTAAAATCCAAAAAATGCCTTGGTATGCAAAGCTATCATAGAAAAGGTGTGGCTTTTTAATGGTGGTACTGATAGCTATAATAAAAGTATGCCTACTCTGATGCACTTTTCCCACTATTTGAATGCTGAACTTCCAAACAAAACGGAATACTAAAATTCTTCACATTGTTTAACAATGTTCACCAATGGAGTAAATCCTTGCTACATTTGCTGTGTTCTACTCTACCCAGCTTAGAACAGAATAAGGCTTTAATAGAAGTCTAATCACACAAATGCCCCATTATTATTTTTCCTTTGCCAACGATCCATATTCACTTGGTCATTCCACAGCACTAATCAGGATTATGCATGAATCATGTTCTTTATAAAATGCCTAGTAGCAATGTATTAATAATGAAAACTACCGGTACATACAGTTTTACTCTAACAGGCAACATACCTTATACTTAATTAATGTTTTGGTGTAAACAGACACCCCCCACCCCCAAATTCACATTCAGCCCCTTTAAATGTAAGGATATATTTAATGTGGAATGCAAACATGCATGAAATAAACAATTTAACCAAGGAAACAATTTTATACATTTATTATTCCCTTTTGAAAAATGAACAGGAACAAGGATAACTAAATTTTGTGAAGCTACATGAAACATTGATGTTTGCCCAGAAATATTCCCAGTGGTACTGTTTTATCTGTGAAAAATGCTTTACTCTCATAAGCTTGGATGCCAAATGTTTGCCAATATCTTTAACTCTAATCTTTCTGTAGTTTATACATCACATCCTAATAAATTTCTCAAGGCCAGTTTTGGGGAGGTAATCAGGTCAAGCAAATTAAACAAATAAGAGAGACTGACAAAAATAGATATGAAACATGCAGTCTATCAAATTAATTTAACTGGGTTAATTGTGTTGATATTTTGAATACAGGTAGTACTTGACTTACAACAGTCCGTTTAGTGACCATTCAAAGTTACAACAGCACTGAAAAAAGTGAGCTATGACTATTTTTCACACTTACAACCACTGATGCATCCCCATGGTCATGTGATCAAAATTTATATGCTTGGCAACTTACTCATATTTATGAGTTGCAATGTCCCAGGATCATGTGATCACCTTTTGCTACCTTCTGACAGGGAAAGTCACTGGGGAAGTCAGATTCACTTAACAACCATGTCACTAACTTAATAACTGTAGGAATTCATTTAACAACTGTCTCACTTAGCAACAGAAACTTTGGAGTGAACTGTGGTCATAAGTCAAGGACTACCTGTACTGACTTGGGTTAGAAATGCATATTTTAATGTTTTTCTTACATGTTTAACACTTTTAATTTTTAAGCCAAAAACAGAAGTGTAAATTTATTTAGTGGCCAAAATTACAAAACTGTAATATCTTGCCATGCTACTGGAATGTTTGTTCTGGTTTAGTATGCTGAAAATGCTATGGCTTTGAAATGGGCCAATTCCGATTTCCATTTCAAGATCAGATTATTTTAAAAATCACTTAGAAGTTGGGACAATTTTTCCAAAGTTTCAGCCACAATCTTTTTTGTCCCACTCTAGTCACAGATATAAACATTAACATAATATATTATAATATAATTAAGAAATGCTATTTTCTTTTTTCCCAACCTGCAACCCAAGCACCACTAATTGCACACATACATATAACATTTTTGAAAAAATTTACTGGAATTGAACATTCATATGACTGAATACCTTGTGTAAAATTGAAAGGCAGCCAGAATAAATTTTGATATGTGTATGCTACTTTTAAACTATAAAGTCATTATCTCAAAGGGCAAGCCATAATTATAATCTTTATAATTCAAAAATTACAGACATGGAGATTGCAATCTTATACCTCCTGATCACTGATCTCAAGTTTCTTATTTCTGAGGAAACATCTATAGGATTGTACCAAATGGAAAAAATACCAGCAAATCTATGATACTGTAGCTCAAGAGATATTTTGCATTACTAAAAAGTGGCATATTAAAGGAAATTGCCCATAAAATATTTGCTATAATAAATGAATATCAGAAGTCCAAGATTTATAATAGTTCATCCATAACTGAGTTGCATTACATCATGCTTTATAAAAAGGCTATGTAATATGCAAATATATTAGCTGCAAGCTTCTTTTCAGTATATAGAATGACTGATATCCGATAGCAAATATAAATATAGACATAATGAAGGCAGGTCACAGCTTTTTATGAAAATATATAATTTATTTCTATAAATATTTTAATTATTTAATTTCAAAGGGTTAGATTTTAAAGCAACACTGCTCAGTATGCAAGCTGAAAAGTACAGGCATGCCCTTGCGTACAAACTGTAAGTGCAACTCACTTACATTGCTGATAGATTTATGCAAAGCTTCACCAAGATAGTGCCGCTATGAAGGAAAGATCACAAGAATAAAAGAAATAATTCAGAAATAACTAAGAAGATGGAATAAAAAGGGGGCAGTAAAAGACAGAACATTCATATTGATATGATAAAGGAAATATGTTGAGAAAAACTAATATAGAACAGTTTTGCTATGGCTTTATAAACACTTCTAAAAATCTACTTAATTAAAAATGTTTTGAATCCTTTTAAAATATAAAAATTGGAAATATAAGAATTATATGCAGTTTCTAAATGACACTATTTTATTTTTTAGCCCAAATAGTGCATAACATTTAATAAACACTGCATAAAATTTAATAAATAAATTCCTGAAAAACTGGCAAATATATTTGTTAGCACATCTGTTTAGAAATTTGGAAAAAAACGTTCAGCTATATTTTTCAATACTGAACATATACATTTTTTTTACTTCTAAAATAATTTTGCATCATAATTTACTATTACCAATCCCAACTTAATTCATAAATACTTTCTTTCCTTCTTTAAATATGAACTGTTCTTTATAATATCTACTCCATAGCAAAATTATATTTGAAATTCATTATATACTGCCATTTATTAACAAGCTAAAGATGTACTGTCAGCATGTATAAGTGGTACATCACTATATACATTAAATGCCACGTGGGTATGAGAACCATACTTGTTAAAATTGAATGATGGATAATTTCACTGTTGGATACATGATTCATTCCCAGTCATTTGTTCTTTCAGTCAAATCATTAAGAACCTTAAGATGCTTACTGATCTATTATATATTTCCTAAATTATTAATGTTTTATCAAAATCACAATTTACAAAGAGATCAATTCATTATTTAAATTATGTACTAATCAAACTATTATTTGTAGCTATTGAATAAATTTCATAGGAGTAATTAGTTAATAATAAAATTAACTCAGAAAATTTCAGCCACAAAAAAATTCTAATCCAGAAAAACTATGAGATCTTTGCTAAATGGCAAAACCTGTTTCCTTTACTGAAAATGAAATCATTTATGATACCATAATTAATAAGAAATCAAAACTCCTTGGTTAACTAGACTGATGTATTTCCAGACACACACTTTAGACCAAGTTCAAACTTTATTCAGTATGGCTGCTCATTTTACTGGACATTATATAGTCTACAACAATGTTATTTTTTCTTAGTGATGATAGCATGAATTCTTGCTATTATGCAATGATCAAGCAATATAATCTTACTTTTGTATTGTTGGAAGGATTTCCACTGAATTCAGTAGAACAATCCTAGGAATTATTGGGATTGTCAGGATTGTTCTAAATGATTTCAGAATTAAAATTATATTTTGCTATTACTGTACTTAATTTCTAAAATGTGTAAATTGAACACAGAAATGTACATCCCATCCTATTTAATCAGTGTATATGTATATTTCTTAGGGTTTTAATTTGTGTTCAGCTACCTACTTTTATTGTTTTCGGTATCTAGCTGTGATTCATAATACTAGTAATGGATGTAGCTAACTCACTTATTTCAGAAAAAGAAACACAAAAGGTTTCAATTTGAAATTTTTAAAACACGTGACAGAATAAAAAAAGATAAATGCTTCTTCCTCCAGTATCTGCTAGCAGAAGAAATGTGTGCATCATCTAAAAATTATACAGGTAGTCCTTAACTTACAACCATTCATTTAGTGACTATTAAAACTTCAACTTCAAAAAAAGTGACACAAACATTTGTCATACTTATGACTGTTGCAGCATCCCTATGGTCACGTGATAAAAATTCAGATGTTTGGTAACTGGCATTTATTTATGACAGTTGCAGTGTCCCAGGGTCATGTGATTACCTTTTGTGACCTTTTGATCAGCAAAGTCAATGGGGATGCCAAATGTATTAACAACCATGTTGTTAACAACTACAGGGATTCACTTAACCACTGTGACAAGAAATATCATAAAATGGGGCAAAACTAAGATAATAAATGTCTTGCTTAGCAATGCTAATTTTGGGCTCAATTGTGGTTATAAGTCAAGGACTACCTATACTGGAATAAGCTTCCATAAATTCCTTGCTGCCCAAGTACTGAGATTTTTGCAACTCTGTAACTGAATATATTGATTTATTTGTCTCCTATTAACTTATTTAGTATAGAATTTTTTAAAAATTTGGAATGGTTCCTGCCTGTTTTTTTAAAAGTAACATTATACATTGGGAGAACTGAATGATGTCATAACCTTTAAAGGCAACATTTTAGTATGCTGGTTGTATGGCACATTCCTATTTTTAATAATTAAAAACATTGAGTCATATGCTACATACAATGTCAAAGAAATCTACACATTTTTATATCAAATTTAACAACTATTCTTATCAAATTTTAAGAGGATTAATTTTGCAACAAAAATCTCAATAATCTAAAAGTGAAATTAATTTATCAACTAATTATTCTGGTTACCTGATCCAAAAGATCTTCAACTTTTTTCTGCCAGCTCTCTCTGGCGGCATTTTTCTCTCTCTCCTTTAGTTGCAAGAGTTGTGTCATTGCTGACTTTTTATCTTCTTCATGCTGAAGTCTCAATTCCTCTCTAAGTTTTGTACATTCCTGCCTAAAAAAAAGAGTCAAAGCTAAAACTTATTCTACTGTTTAAAACATTGTAGAAACCTTGTTGAAATGCATAGTCTTTGTCAAAACATTATTATTATTAAGCTATATGTTTGTTCCTCTGAATCAGTTTTTTCACAAGATTTTCTAAAGTGGTTTGCCACTACCTTTGCGTTAAGAGAAAGGGAATGACACAAAGTCATTCAACAGGCTTCATGCCTAAGGCAGGACTAGAACTCAGGGTCTCCTGGTATTTAGCCAGATGCCTTAACTATTGCACCGAATTGGCTCCTTTTTATTAAGATACACATTTCTTTAAAAGAGAAAATAAATGGAAACAATACTTGCCGGAGATTTTCTGTCCATTTTATTTCCAGGTCACGAGCCATTCTATCGAGTTTTAATTTTTCCTCTTCCCTCATGGTTATAATCATTGCTTCATGGTGCTGTCTCTCCTGATTTAACTCCCCCTTAAAATAAAAACAAAAAATCTATAACAAATTTATGCTAAGAAACAACATTTCAAAATGCAGAATTATTTGTATTTTTACATTAACATGGAAATGTTTAATGTGGCTGCCCATTTCATACAAAGCAACCCTAGGTAGCATACAACAATTAAATAATACAGCATATAAATAAAATATAAAATGTAATTATTAAAATGAGACCATTATAGAAAAAAATAAATATACAAATCCCACAGAAAAAGGAAGAATATCTTCTAGGAATGTCTCCACTTCCCAAATCCTAGATGGCATCCCATCCCAAATGCCAAAATGGCATAGCCTTAGAACAAGTAGGACCCCAAACCCAAAATCATTCAGTCTTGCTGATGGTTCAGTTGAAGCCTACCATGCTCCATTCAGTTCTTCACAAACTCTGGACACCAAGATATTCACCATCTCACTTAATTTGCCAAGGACAGAGATGTATTGTTGGGTATAATCAGTGTACTGATGATACCCCCCACCCCATGGTCACAGGTGAACTCACCCATTGGCTTCATGTAAATATTAGAGGGGAGATCACAGAATCCTGTCTATAACTGTAAGAACAGTTTTTAAAAATTATTGATATGGACACTGCTCAAAAAAATAAAGGGAACACAAAAATAAGATATCCTAGATCTGAATGAATGAAATATTCTTATTAAATACTTTGTTCATTACATAGTTGAATGTGCTGACAACAAAATCACACAAAAATTATCAATGGAAATCAAATTTAGCAACCCATGGAGGTCTGGATTTGGAGTTACACTCAAAATTAAATTGGAAAAAAACACTTCAGGCTGATCCAACTGTGATGTAATGTCCTTAAAACAAGTCAAAATGAGGCTCAGTAGTGTGTGTGACCTCCAAGTGCCTGTATGACCTCCCTATAACGCCTGGGCATGCTCCTGATGAAATGGCGGATGGTCTCCTGAGAGATCTCCTCCCACACCTGGACAAAAGCATCCCCCAACTCCTGGACAGTCTGTGGTGCAACGTGGCGTTGGTGGATGGAGCAAGACATGATGTCCCAGATGTGCTCAATTGGATTCAGGTCTGGGGAACGGGCAGGCCAGTCCATGGCATCAATGCCTTCGTCTTGCAGCAACTGCTGACACACTCCAGCCAATGAGGTCTAGAATTGTCTTGCATTAGGAGGAACCCAGGGCCAACCGCACTAGCATATGGTCTCACAAGAGGTCTGAGGATCTCATCTCAGTACCTAATGGCAGTCAGGCTACCTCTGGCGAGCACATGGAGGGCTGTGCAGCCCCCTAAAGAAATGCCACCCCACACCATTACTGACCCACTGCCAAACCGGTCATGCTGGAGGATGTTGCAGGCAGCAGAACGTTCTCCATGGCGTCTCCAGACCCTGTCATGTCTGTCACATGTGCTCAGTGTGAACCTGCTTTCATCTGTGAAGAGCACAGGGCGCCAGTGGAGAATTTGCCAATCTTGGTGTTCTCTGGCAAATGCCAAACACCCTGCATGGTTTTGGGCTGTAAGCACAACCCCACCTGTGGATGTCGGGCCCTCATACCACCCTCATGGAATCTGTTTCTGACCGTTTGAGCAGCCACATGCACATTTGTGGCCTGCTGAAGGTCATTTTGCAGGGCTCTGGCAATGCTCCTCCTGTCCCTCCTTGTACAAAGGTGGAGGTAGCAGTCCTGATGCTGGGTTGTTGCCCTCCTACGGCCTCCTCCATGTCTCCTGATGTACTGGCCTGTCTCCTGGTAGTGACTCCATGCTCTGGACACTACGCTGACAAACACAGCAAACCTTCTTGCCACAGCTCGCATTGATGTGCCATTCTGGATGAGCTGCACTACCTGAGACACTTGTGTGGGTTGTAGACTCCGTCTCATGCTACCACTAGAGTGAAAGCACCGCCAGCATTCAAAAGTAACCAAACCATCAGCCAGAAAGCATAGGAACTGAGAAGTGGTCTGTGGTCACCAACTGCAGAACCACTCCTTTATTGGGGATGTCTTGCTAACTGTCTATGCTTTCCACCTGTTGTCTATTCCATTTGCACAACAACCTGTGAAATTGATTGTCAATCAGTGTTGCTACCTAAGTGGACAGTTTGATTTCACGAAGTGTGATTGACTTGGAGTTACATTGTGTTGTTTAAGTGTTCCCTTTATTTTTTTGAGCAGTGTATATTAAGACAGACCTTTACCCACAGCTCAACCACTATCTGACCTAAGTATGAAAGATACAATATTTGCTAAATAAAGCCTAGTTTGATCAATATCTTATCAAAACCACAAGCAGAACATGAAAGCAACACTTTCATTTGCTCCTGATAGCTGGTGCAATGGTATATCTATTGTAAACCCTGAGGTTGGAAATAACTGTATTAGCAAGCAAGCAAGCAAGATTTTAATAGAAATCTCCAGTAATCTGTCTTAACACTCTTTTAAACATCCCTTTTTAAAAGGGTTGTTTAAAATGGTGACCCTGAAAACCATTGTAATATTCAAGAAATTAAAGATATTTTTCCATATATGGCACGGAAGGTCATATGACAACCTGAGTTTGTCTAATGGAGTGAATACATATGATAGAATTTTACATTTACCTCTACATTATATAAGGAGTCAGCGGTTTCTCTCAGTTTTGCCTGGGTTAGTTCTAATTCTTTTTGTAATATTTCTTGGGTTTCCTGGAGGCTAGAAATGTGCCCTTCTGCAGTACTAAGGCCCTGCTCACTTCTTTTTAAGACATCCTGTAGATGCTCCACCTGTAATACAGAAGGAAAATGATTGCTTATTAAAAAAAGAAATCAGATTCGTATTTGATGAATGTATATTCAGATTCTCAGAAATTATCTCATGTTTTCAATCTTCATTTATATATCATTTTAATATACTGAACCCAAAATAAACTAAAAAATTGTTCTTAAAATACGTAAAACAAATGAAGAAATAATCTATGTTTAACATTCAGTTGTTTTCTTTATCCAATTAGAAAAACTAAACACATACAACATTATGTATATGTTACATGATGCTGATAATAAATAACGTATTATTTCATATATTCTGATAGAAAAAAATAGTAAAAAGTTATATCAAAATCTGATGGAAGAAATGAGGGAATAATCCCCACAAAGGAAGTCCAATGATAATAGTGCATAGTCAGAAAGCATATAATGTTGATCACATTTGACAGCAGAAATTATCTGTAATCTAAATGCATGTGCATATATGTATGACACTCAGAAATCAATTCAGTGATTAATATCATGTTATTGAATTCCATATGTAAAATAGTATCAAATGGGTAACTTATTAGTTTTTTTAGTTAAAAATTCTAACACTAAAAGAACACATTTCTTTCACGTGTATAGTTCATAAAATATACAATATGATACACACACACAGAGAGAGAATTCTTCTTTTAGCCAAAATGAAGCAGAACAGAATGAATCCAAGTCTAAAATACCAATTAAGAAAAAACATTAATAATTAAACATAGTTGAATGCACACAGCATTTAGGTAATATGATTGTGTTGATTCTTACCTCCTGATTGGAGGAAGTCAATTTGGTTGTCAGTTCTTCCCTTAGGCTTTCCAACTGCTGTCGAAGCAGATTCTTCTCATCTTCAAAACGTTGTTTCTCTTTCTCAAATTGCTGCTCCAACTCCTTAAAAAACAAAACAAGGCAGAAAAAAATGTTAAGTCTTCTACTGTTTATTAATTATATTCTTCAAAAACATTAATGATTTATATTCTGTTTTCCTGCTCAGTCTCCCATATAATCCAGAAATGAGTTTCAGAGAGCAAATGGATCTAAGGCAGTCCTCTCTAGGTAACCTTAAAGCCTAGACAGATTTTTATTGGGATAGTTAATTCATCAATCAAGACATTATACCTCTGCTTCATGAAGTGCTCTGGCTTCTAGTTTCTTTCTGGATGAAATTCAAAGTATTGGTTCTCACCTTTAAGGCTCTGAATGGCACCAGACCAGGCTATTTGCAAGGACTATCTCTCTCCCTGTCGGTACCTGCCTTTTCTACCAAATCAAGTAGAGTAGGTGAGCTCTATATTTCTTTCCCCAAATGTTGTCATCTGGTGGACTAGAAAGCACAACTTCTCTGTAGAAGTTTTTTTTGTTGGAAATTGGCAAAATATCACAAACCACGTTAATATGACCACAGAACACTACAACCAGCTGTAAATGTGAGCTGGTTGCCAAGCATCCCAACTGAAATCATGTGAACATGGAGGATATGACAGCCATTAGCACAAGTATGGGTTATAAGATACTTTTTTCTGAGGCCACCATAACTTTGAATCACTATTAAGTGAATGGTCATCAGTCAAGGGCTACTCGCGTGGAAAAGGGCTTGTTTATGGACTACCAGGAATTTTGATGCTGGTTTCATTGTCTCTTTATGCCTTTATTGCTCTTTCTATGGGTTATAGTACATAAGAAGGATGGCCATATAAAACATTTAAATAATTAAATAAAATCAAGGTTTATCAAAAATATGGGTAACTACTGCCATGTTCATTGAGTTCAACAATTACACAGCTGGCACATTTGACCTAATTCTACAGTCAAATGAGTTGAACAATCAGGCAACTGTAACTGCAGCTTAATAAAAGAAACTGCCAAATCCCATTTTTTTTAACTTTGTAATGTTTTAATATGAAGTAGTATATACATAGATCTACTAGATAGCTTATTTAGACTTCCAACGTTTCTGCAGTGACCTTTGTTGTGAGTTAAGTGTTCAATTAATGAATTACCTATTTTCTCTTTGGATAACAAACATGAAGCAGAGAGCAGGAATAAATGACAGTTAATATGTTTAGAAGTAGGACCATTATCATGGTGATGGATTTTTCTGATGCCTTGTTTTCTTTATATAATTAAAATTGGGACAACTGCTGTAGCAATTTTATAGAGGTATAGAAGACAGAAAAGGAAATATTTCAGAAATAAAAGCAGTTTATCTCTGCCAAAGGAAATGAGTGTCCCTCCTAAAGAAAGAAAGAAAATAAGTTCTATAGAAGGAAATTCAAAATAACCATCAGTATCTCGGATGATTTGACCTGATTTCTTCTAGATTATTCTACAATATGAATATTAGGATTAGTCATAAGGGAAGTAAACCTAGGATATACATTCAGGGAGATTTGGATCTGTATGACATTTTTTTTCTGTTGAAAGAAATCAACTAACTAGACAGAGAAAATGGATGCAAGAGACAGGACCTTTCGATAGTAATTCCTGAGCTCTAGAATTTCTTGTCATTTGTGATGCTATAATCTCAGTCCAGTTATTTTAATCATAAAGGCTGACTTGTTTTATATTGATTTCTTTTAATGTTAACTGTTAAATTGTTTGGCATATTTTATTTTTGTTTCAGTGCTACATTTTATTGTATCTGATTAATATATCTAAATAATATATTATTGGATAAATAGAATAAGCTGTAATTTATTTGTAATTGTTTTACTTTTAAATTTGATGGGCAGACCAAATGACAAAACTAATGATTAAGAATCTAATTAATTGCTACCAATCTGAAGTCCTTCTGGAATTCATCAACAATCCTACTCCATAGTCTCACATGAAACTCTAGTCATCCATAATCATCCATGTATAGGAGAGATGCAAAATATTGTGGAAATTGTAGAAATTTAATCTTTTTAAATGTCAGCAATAAAAAAAGTTGCCTAGTTTATTTAAATGATACCAGTCTATTCCTTCTGATTAAAATAATCTGTGAAACTGGAAATTTTCTTGCTGCAAAACATGTGGAACAACTTAAAATCTGCTATTACAATTAAAAACAACTCAACATATGTTGTTATAGTAAAACAGGAACAATCATAAGAGTTTATCTTTCTCTTACCATTTGCAGTTTCTTTTTTTCCTTGTTAGCATTGTTATGTGCTGCTTCAAGAGCTGTATTATGTTTCCATGCCAACTCCTCCAAAACCTTGGAATGAGCTTCTTTTATCTGCACAGTCTCTCCTTCTAGTTTGACTTGCAATTTCATTAACTCCTTTTCATAATATTCTTGTTGTGTTTCCCTTGCTTCATTTACTCTCTTTAATTTAAACAACTTAGAATCAAAATCAGATAAATGTATTTTGAAAACTATATAGTCTTGAGTTCATTACACTTAAGTTGTCGTTGTGGTTTTGTCCTATACGTGCACTATCTAAGCTATATCATAGTTTAGATATTAATGATGTGGGAATGATAAGGCAATCAAGCCTTCAGATTCTCTCCTTCAGTTGACCTGAACATAGAAGTTCACTTAATATAGCAAAACTAGATACGAAACTGTATTACACATTTATGCAGCTAAATGCCCTCAGTTTAAATGAGGCAGGCATTTCATATTCTCTAGTATAAATTTGGCACTTTTCCCCTGCTTTTTCCACATATTAATGAAACCTTATTTCTCATACTTAGTGGAAGCTGGTGCTTGTTGGCATATCTAGCATTCAGTGGCGGATGAAGGCTCACTGGTGCCCAAAGCATTGACAAATCTTGGTGCCCGCCCTCCTTTATACATACTGTACAAACAAAGTCAAGCCTAGGCTACATAAGTGTTTTGTGGTGCCCACTTTGTCCTGGTGCCCTAAGCACATGCTTAGTCTGCTTAATGGTTAATACACCACAGCTAGCACTCTTGTCCTCATTAACTGTTGATTCCCAAAATATTTCTAACAGCTTGTAGATTAATCAGCTATGCAATAATAGTTGTATAACAGATATTGAGATTAAGAAACTGCTAATGAACACTTTGTACAACTATTGTTTACAATAATGAAATAGCTTTAATTGAATAATAGATCATACAAGTAGACTTCAAGGTACCAATTCTTATGTACCAAGATCAAAATGGTGTCCTTTCAAGTTATGCAGCTTTTATGCAAATGAAGTAACACTTTTGAATATTCAGGGTTAAAAAAAAGCATGGAGGCCATTCAAAAAGAGAGAACAAATAGTTTTCATATTTATATAATTTCAATTTTCATTTGTAACCCACCCATGAATATTTACCTTCTCCAGTGTAAGAAGTTGCTGCCTTTGTCTTTCATCCAGACTTTGTGTTTTACTGTGTAACACATTTCTTTCCTCTTCCAACTGAGACAATTTCTCCTTTAATCTAGATTTTTCAGATTCCAAATCAGATATTGTAACTTCCTGGGTCATTTGGGTAGCTTGAAGCATTCCAACATGACCTGTAAAATGAACCATTAAGTATTTCTGGAATATTAATATTTGTACTTGAATGGCTTCTCGTACCAGCTTGATTCACATAATGTATCAAGCTATAAAGCAGGTGATTTTAACTTACTGGGTTGTAAGAGTATAAGCACTGAAATTTGTAAACACAGATGATAACTCTAGGTATTGTATGGATCCAGGCATTATTTTACTCAGTGAACAATGGTTATATAGATTTTGGCTTAATCACATTCATTTTGGGACAAATTTGAAACAGGAGATATTCTGGAATGCCCAACTATGATATCATGCAATGTTTGACTTGGTTCATTGACCAGAAGTACAACAAAAGCAGGCTGAAATCTGAAGTAAGGTGACTTTGCTCCTTTCTGTATATATTTTCATGATTTAACTCCTGATCTCCTACTGTGACGCTACTTGTTTCATAATAAGAGAATTAGTGAGTAAAGCTTCTCATAAAAACATATGCTTTTAAAAAGAATTAATTCTAGTTACAATATCATCTTATCTGATCTAAAATTGCAATCAGATAAATGTAGAAGGAAAAATATTTCAGTTTACCTGCCTCCCTCTCCAAAAAGTATTTCTATGAAGTTATCACATAAATCTTCCACGATTTAAAGTTGTGAAAAATATACATTTTGCTATTATTCACTAAACAAAATAGTGTTAGCTGTATAGGAGACAGAATTGCTTATCTTTATAACATACTACTTATTTATTAAGTTTTCCACACAACACAAACCAAATTCTGCTCAAAAAAACAAAAACAAAACAAAACACCAAGGTGCTATCAAAATTACATACTTTTCTGGTTTGTTATATACCACACTTAAAAACACACTTTAAAACATAGACATTACCACACAATGTCTATGGCTAAAATATAATTAGAAATACATTAAGGCATTAAGAATTTTAGTTTCATTTTTAGAAAAAATGTCTCTAAATTCTTTCAGAATTTACCGTATATACTCGAGTATAAGCCGAGTTTTTCAGCCCATTTTTTGTGCTGAAAAAACCCCCCTCGGCTTATACTCGAGTCAGATTCCCCTCTGAAAAAAAAATGGTGTGGAGCTCCGGAGCTGGGCAGGCGCTTCCCTGCTTCCGTGTTTCCTTTGCAACTTTTAAGCATGGGGGTAATCGGAAGCAGAAAAGTTCTTGCATGAGGATATATTGTTTTTTCTTTTTCTAACTGTTTTTAGGGGGGGGAAAGACCCACCGTCATGTCAGAATGCTCAGACACGAAATCTATCCGCCCAAAAATAAGTGTGTGTGTGTGTGTGGGGATTTTAACAGAGGGAAGATGTAGGGAGAAGGCAAAAGCGACGGAAGATCCTTCAGGGGAAAC